AATTTGGGAGGGAAGAGGAATGACTTCCCTTATCAATTATTTGCATTTGTTAACTTTTTTACCTCTCTTTTTTGACTCAAGTATAGACAGTTGAGTTTACTTTCTGTAGGTTAAAAGTATAATGGCATTATGAAGTTGAAATATATGCCTGAATATATTTTTCAGAATTTTCCTTTCAATTGATAAAGTGCATAATATACAATGGTATATTATAATGAAAAATACTTTCATATATGTTTAATGTAATAAAAAGTGAGTTAATACTAGCTTAGCTGCAAGTTTTGCCTGTAGCTATAATGTAATTTTTTAATCCAATTTTATATACTGGGAAAACAGACTTTACACTGCAGGCAATGGGAAAGCTCTGGAAGGTTTTGGAGAAAGGGAATCCAGTTAGAAGACTATCGTAATCATTTAAATGAGGAAAATGAGTCTAGGCAGGTGGGCCACTGACATCGGAAAAAAATGATTGATTTACAAAAGAAGTCTCAATAGGGATTGGTCAATTACAAGATACATGAAGAGAGTGGAAGATGCTGTAAATGCCTCCTGAATCCTGAGTCCAGGTAAAGTGAAGAATGGTGGAGAGAGAAAGGTCTTTGGAGAAAAATGATGAGTTTAATGTGGACTATAGACTCTGAAGGGGTGAGACATCCAGTTTGAACTTACCCAGTGGTTAGATATGAGGAAGGCTGAAACTTCATAGAAAGGTCCGGAGTATGTGTGAGATTTGGCAAGATTCCTGGCCCTTCTCCAGGTGAAGGCCACTGAGGTGGTTAGAATAGGCTTGGCCAGGTGGGGGCAGCAGAGCATCACCAATTGCTGGGGATAGTGAGACAGCAGAGAGGAAGAGAGCCTTGAAGCTGAAGATTGTCTGAGCCTTTGGATGTGTTAGCATTTGGTGGGGGGAAGAACTAAAGCCAGCTAAGGACAGAGAGGTAATGGAACCCTAGAGGTGAGATCACCTGCAGAGCACAAATGTATGAAAGCCAAAACATGGCAAGATTTCTACGAGGTAAGAAGCAAGTGACTGGTGACTTTGAAGGAAGTGATTTTAGAGGAGTAGTGGGGACAATAATAGATTAAAAGAGACGAAGTGTGGAATGAAAATGGAAATAGGGAAATTTTTTTCAAGTTTGCCAATGAAAGAAGTGTAGTGTCAGGATGGTAGTTTGAAGAGAGGCAGGATAGATGGAGGATGTTTTTTTTTTCACTGTGAATTGGTCTTGTAAATGTTCATGAGCTGAATGGAATAATCTCATGAGGAGGATAATTGGAGGTGCCAGTATAAGAAACAAAGAGGATAATAACAAAGCCACCTCTCAGAAGAATTAGGGTATAATCAAGTGTTCTGGTGGAAGGCTTGGGTTGGAAGAGGTCAGGGAGGAAGAAGATAAAGATAATAGAGATTTTATAAATTTTTAGTAAGTGCCTACTTTGTTTAAGTAAGCCGTGTTCTGAATGAATGTTCATTGGTTATTTGGAAAGCTTAAGCCATTTCCTTAAAGGAACACAGTGCTACAGCGGATGCGACCTGTGGGAAGCAGGATGATTCAGGAGTGAGCTCTTCAGACAGCCCTCAAGTCCCGAGTCACCTCCCGCTTTACAAATGTGGATCTAACCCAGAGTTCTATCATTCCTCTTTTCACTTTCCCATTCACTTCCTCAGAGATGATTTCTACTTTTATGGTTTAAAATACTGTTAGCTATATAGAAATCTTTATCCTCATGTTATAGGAACTCTTTAGAGTTGAAGTACTGGATATTTAGCAATCAGTTCCTAACACAGTGCCTTGATATCTTACGTACTTTTCCCGGAACCAAGGGCCTCCAAGTTGGAAAGGTACTCCATTGGTTCTCAGTCTTGGCTGCACATTAGAATCAGTTGAAGGCACCTCTAAGCAATATTAATGCCTCGCCCCATTCTCAGAGATTCTGATTCAAGTGATTTGGAGTGGAGCCTGATTATCGGTATTTTTTTTTTAATTTACCCAGGTGACTGTAATACACAGCCCTGGTTGAGAACCCACTGACTTAGACAATGAGCAAATTATACTACTACTATTAGGCAACTTTTAATTCAACATTTAGTATAGCCTGTCCCTTCAAACTCAATGTAACTAAGGTAAAATGCATTTCCAAAAGCAGCTTTCTCTCCTGGCTTTTCTGTTTTTGTCAATTGCACCTCCATAAGCAAAAGCATGAGCCTTTTTTGATTTGGCCATTTGCCCCATTTCCCTGTATCTGGTTAGTCTTTAAATCCAGTGTCCTTCAGGGTCTTATGCCTGTCCTCCAGAGCTCTGCCCACCTCAAGGTCATCAACTTTAGGCAATCTCTTGCTCTCTCTTTTGACTCAAGTATAGACAGTTGAGTTAATCATATATTTTTGTGTGCATAGCACATTGTAGTTATGGTTTATCTTTTTTGCAAAATGAAGGAAATATTACATATGTTGTTTTACCATTCCCCTTTTACACAAAAATTTGCCGATTTTGTCAGTTCTTTTCCCATTAACTAAGATGCTGGCTTTTGTGTAAGGAATCCTGATTTCCATTTTGTTACTATTATTTTAAAATCAGTAATGGGTGATGAATTTGTCAAATGATTTTTCAGCATCTGTAGCAGTGGTCAGTATTTTTCTCCTTAGAAAACAATTAATATCATTAGTACTTTAAATGATCAAACATAACAATATACCTGGACTTTGGTTGATTTTCCATTTTCATATATCAACAATAGTAAACATTTAAAACATTCCGTAGAGTTGGCTCTTTCCCTCAGATCTTATTTTCAGTTTATGGTTATTTTGACCACAAGAGGAAAACTGGTCAACTTAAATTGAAATGTCAATGGAAAATTTTGACAAAGAAACAGTTTTATCTGGAAGACATAGCTCACTGTCCAGCCCATTGGAAAAAAAAAGGTCACTTGTTATTATTGTCCCCATTATTGCTTGATTTCTCACCTAATGGCTTAACCACACCACCAGGTCTTGGCTTCTCTCTCACCCATCCTTTGCCATTTCTGAGCATCGATTGCGCTCCGTGCACCTTTTCAGCTCTTTGGGGCTGAATTGCTTCTTTTATTGTTACTTTTTAATTAATTCATTGGCAGAATGTTTTTTTCCACATTTTTAGAAGAGCTTTGGTTCTAAAAGAAGTATTTATTATACATGTACTTTAACCCCAAAGGAAACCAGAGAAAAGTAAACTGGAATAAGAAATTAATTTTCAATTTACAGGGATGTGAAGAGATGAAGTCTGGTTAGAAAAAAAGTTCCTGAAGTAAATAACCACACTGGCATTCAATCCTTGCCATTAATGTGGTTTGTCATAACACCAAATTAAATTCATTTAAAAAAAACCCTGTGTTCTTTTAAATAAATATTTTTTCTAAATTTAAGCAAAATGAAAAAGCCCATTCAAAGTAGTAAATACTAGAGTGCTTACTTGTAAGGCATAGTGGTAGGCCCTGAATAGGGCAATAAAATGAGTAAGTCCCTGCCCTTGGTGCAGGGAAAGTGTCTTTGTCTTCTAAAAAGGTTGCACAGACAAGAGTTTGGTGTCTAGGAGGGAGCATCACAAATTCCCACACTCTTGCCCCTTCTTGACCAACAGGTCATGAGTCACTTGACACCTTTAAAATCACAAAATCTCTGCCCTCATGGATTTTTATTCTAGGGTCATGGTTGTGGGGCAGAGGGTGGGGACAGGTAATAAACAAATAAGTAAAATAAGCAAGTAAGTGTTACGGAGGAAAAGCCAAGGTTAGGGAGTTCTGGGCACAATGATGTTGTAATTTCAAATGCACTGGCCAGGGAGAGTCTCATTGGTGGGGGGCTGAAGTAAGGAGCTGACTGAAAGAAAGGTGTTAGCCAAGAAGACATGTGTGGCAAATACCAAGGTCCTCACTTGGGACTGTTCCTGGGCTGTTCACACATGAACTAGGAAGTAGCAGCAGTAGGTCAGTGTGGCTAGAACTGGTCAACTAGGGACAAAGCACAAAGAGAAAATTTAGTGAGTTAAGAAGCGGAGAGACTTTGGGTTTTACTATGATGAGAGAAACCACTGGAGGATTTTGTTGAGTAGAGGAGGGACATCTGATTTACAGCTTAGGTGGATAATGACTGAAGTCAGTCATGGCCAGAAGCAGGAACACAAGAAGCCACCACAATAACCACGTAAAGAGAGGCAATTGTAGTGAAGTGACAAGAAATGGTTGAATTCTGCATATATTTTGGTAGTGGAGCCAGAAGGATGTGCTGAAGGTGTGACAGGAAAGAACCAGGCCAAGTTGCTGTCAGCTTTGAAAACTGGTCAGAATACTCTCCTCATCGCCTTTGCAAAAGGTGGAGATTTGTACTTGTCCAGATTCTACCTATTCATCTCAGTCTATTTAATCAAGATCTCCAGCATCATGGCCCTGGAAACCATACTTTTCAAATGCATCTTCATGATTTTTCTAATTTGACTTGGGCTAACAAAACTGGCTTAGGGCTCGCTTGAATTACGAGGAAGAGGCCATTCCTTCAAACAAATTAGAAGCACATCACTGTGCAAAGTATGTAAGTTAGTAGGCTAATCCCACTCTGATCTCTCTCGCAGAACATAGAACAGTAAAGAAGCCTTAAGGGGGTCGAGCTAAGCATGGGAAGCTTCCTGGAGAAGACTGATTTCTGCGAAGGATTTCTCAGGACTATCGGGAGTGAAGGGCAGGGAATGAAAGTCAAAGATGATGAAGTGTGACTGTGGGGTGGCAACCGGCTCACGCCAATCCTCTCGTTGGAGCCCTCTGTCACCCAGACGCAGCCCTCCAGCAGTCGTGGCTGTGACAGAGCGACTCCACTACAGCTCCGCCCAGGCAGTGACCGGCCCATTTTCCTCCTGTCGCTGCAGCTCTGGTTTCCGGATGGTCCTGATTTTAGAGCGGACCAAACCGGATGAAGGTCGCACGCCGTTTTCCGCTTTCCTGCAAGTTCTTTAAAACCCGGCCGTGAGCTGGCACTCGCCGTCCCTTTGCGCAGGCGCCGTCTGCAGTCCAAGCGCGGCACTATGCCGGCCGCTCACGCCTCGCGTGTCCGGGCCTTGTATCGCCGCATTTTACTGCTGCACCGCGTTCTGCCCCCAGACCTTAAAGCCCTTGGTGACCAGTACGTGAAGGACGAGTTTAGGAGACATAAGACGGTTGGTTCCGACGAAGCCCGGCGTTTCTTGCAGGAATGGGAGGCAAGTGACTGCCCCGCCCCCCTTTCCCTGCCCTACATTCTTGGGGGTCCCTCAGAGGTGTCCCGGTTTGTCTCTATGAAAGACCGGCTGGTTTTTCCGGGTCCCACGCCATTGGTAGCCTGTTCTATTTGAATTAAACAGCGCAAAGCTCTTCAAACAGTACTTCCCAAAGTTACAGCCAGAGCCCGTGGATTTCTCGCACGGGTTCCTCGCTGGAGCAGATCCCGTTCCATCAGCATCTGCCCGTGCCAGGCGCTGGAGAGGTGAGGATGGGATAAATCACCGTCAGGTGCTCAAAGAGCTTATGTCCCCTCCAGTGCCTTGCACGGAGCAAGTGCCGATTAATAAAGTAATGGTTTTCTCCTTACCTCTAACTTTTCATACTTAGAGTCTTGTTTCCATAATTACTATTTTTAAGACTTAAGTGCTCTTTGTTGGGTCTTAATAATGTTCTTAGTTGACTGATACAGAAATCAGTTAAGCCTGGGGGACTACAAGCGTTGAAAGAGAAAATGCTGGTCAGTTTAAGTCAGGTGAAAGTTGGTTTCTCCTGAGTCTCAAGTCACGTTACTTTGTTACATCGCCCCGCATTATTACCTTTAAAGCAGACACCTGCACTAGGGATTAGCCCTTTCTCTACCACCCACCCCCCGCCTTTGGGTGGAGGAAAAAGATATTCAGAATATTATATTTCGTGGGGTTGGGAGCCCTGCAGGATTACCTCTAGTTCTGATTTGTAAATATCAAGAAACAAATGGAATTGGAGATTAGAGCGAGATCTCAGGTATTTGAAAACTTGAAGCAGTGTTTGTATAAAAACAGGTAAGCAATCCGTCAACCTAAAATGTTAATGGCTGAAGAGATGACTGAAGTCTGTTGTTAAAGGTCATACAGATTAGAGTGAACACAAAACCTTGTCACTGAATCCTAGAATTCTTGATTGTAGAATTATTGAAGCTTGCAAAATGTTGCAAAAGGGACATTTAGGACAAGGGTGAAATTTAGAACTTTCCTAAATATATTATGTATTAGATGTCCTGGGTTGGCCAAAAAGTCCATATGTTTTTTTTTTCCTGTAAAATAAGAGACACATTTTTCATTTTCACCAATAACTACTGATTTGGATATTTGAGTATGTTGGCTATCTCCCATGTGGTGTAACATTGATATTCTCAATTAATGTCTCAATTTGATCTCTATCAACTTCAACTGGTCTACCCACTATGGAGCATTGCCCAGCGAGAAATCTCCAGCACAAAACTTCACAAACTACTTTCGATACAGCATCTTCTCCATACAATAAACAATTTCTTGTGTGTTTCAGTTGTGTTTTTACCTTTCTTAAAATAATAAAGCATAATATTCTAAAAATGTTGCTTATTTTCTCCCATCTTCAATATTAAAATGGCTGCATAAAAATTCACCAATTTTGACTTTTTAAAAAATGCACACTTATATGACAGCTATCACAATACAATTTAACAAAATTGTTTTGAATAAAGTTAAAAACAGCTAAGCACTATTAGAGCTATCTTTCAGGGGAAAAAAAGGAACTTTTTGGCCAACCCAATTAATTGGCCTTCCTGGAGCTAGGGAATTTGAATATTTTAAAATGATGCCCTTGCTGGTGTAGCTCAGTAGATTGAGCACCCGCTTGAAAACCAGAGAGTTGTTGGTTCAATTCCCAGTCAGGGCACATGGGAATGGGGCAAATGGGGCCACAAGTTCTGGCCCCATTTGTGGGCCAGAACTTGTGGGCCAGATCCCCAGTAGGGGGCGTGTGAGAGGCAACCATTCATTAATGTGTGTCTCTCTCTCCCCTTCCCTTCTCTAAACATAAATAAATAAAAATCTTTAAAAAAATAAAATGAAAACTAGTACCTTTTAATATCATAACTTGGTTTTGGAGTCAGAACTGGATTCAAATTCAGGTTTTGACATTTATAATATGTCACATCACTTAATTTGTCTTGTTTTTTATCTGTGAAATAACAGTATTTATAATATGCACTTAAAGGTTTTTGTATGTAAATGTATTTAAAAGCACTTGATAAATTAATTGCAATGAAACTATGTGATATCAAGGTGTTTAAATGACATCTTTTAAGCCAGGTCAGTTTGTGGCAGGACAGGAGGGAGAGTCTAGCTGTGTGTTGGAAAGAAGTAAAGGCACTTTGAGAGGTTCTGAAGTATAAGAACTTGGAAGCTTTTAAGGGAAAGAATAGGAACTCATAAATTGATAGTAGACTGGAGGAAAGAGAGGGCATTAAAAAAAGCTGTGAAAATAGTGTTTTGTTCAACCTAGAAGGCTTGGTATTAGGAATTCATCTTTTTTTCCCCCCTTAACTCTCAAAATAATTTTAGACATACAGAAGTTAAAAAGACAATGCTGAGTTCCCATACATCCTATGCTCAGCTTCCCCTTATGTTAACATTTTGCATAACCAATTATCAAAAACTAGCAAATTAACATTGCTACAGTACTCTTAACTACAGCCTTTATTCACATTTTGCCTGTATTTCCACTAATGTTCTTATGTGTCCCAGGGTCCTACATAGTACAATTTTTAGCCATCCTGTCTCCTTAATTTCCTCTGGTCTATGACACTTTCTCAATTTCTTATCTTTCATGTCTTTGACACTATTTTGCAGAGTATTAGTTATTTTGTAGATTGTCTCTCAGTTTGGGTTTGTCTGGTGTGTTCTCTTGATAAGACTGGTGTTAAGCATTGTAGGAAAGGATGCCACGAGGGTGATGTGCCCTTCTCCATACAACCTGTCAGAGGGCACAAGATATTATTGGTGATGTAAAACATGATCACTTGCTTAACGTGATGTCTCCATTATGAAATTACTCTTTTCCTTTTTGAAATTCACACATATTTTGGGTGAGATACTCTGAGGCTATACAGATATCCTGTTTGTCCTTAAGCTTTTCCAACTAATTTTAGCATTCATTGATGGATCTTCCCATTGTGTTACAATGGTGACTTTGTCTCCCTTATTCCTTCTGAATTTATTACTTGGAAATGTTCTGTAGGCAAGCATTGTTTCTTCTTCCCTGCTATTGATCTAGCATTTTTACTTATTTTTAAAAAAAGATTTTATTTATTTATTTCCAGAGAGAGGGGAAGGGAGGGAGAAAGAGAGGAAGAGAAACATCAACGTGTGGTCACCTCTTGCATGCCCCCTAATGGGGAGCTGGCCTGCAACCCAGGCATGTGCCCTGACTGGGAATGGAACCAGTGACCCTTGGGTTTGCAGGCGGGCATTCAGTCCACTGATCCACACCAGCCAAGGCCTACTTACTTTTTTGGAATGAAGAAAAGTGTGACCAATGAGGCTAGGGCCCTGTACTTAATAATCTGGCAACTGGGTTAAACCCAATGATCTGCTTGGTTAAAATAATAATTCTTGCAGTTGAAAAGCAGCTTAGTCTAAGCCTGGGAATTAGAAGAGGTAGGGTGGATTCTACCAAGAGAACCAGTTTCCTTCTTTCCAAGGATGAGGGCTAGGGAAAACTCCAGTGACTAGGCAGGGAGAAAAACCTAGCTAGTGCAGTGATACCAGAGAGTGATATCCCTCATTTGGCCTTTTAAGTCATTTTTCTCCCATGTGTTCTTCAAAACATCTAACTGATGATTGTTATACTTGATGCTACTAGTTATAACATGAATTTCCATTGTTTTTAGTTTAAAAGTTATTTATTTTAAATATATTGTATTGATTCTGCTTTACACTTGTCCCAACTTTTCTTCCTTTGCCCCTCTCCATCCAGTATCCTCCATTCACTCTCACAATCCCCCCTCGTTTAGTTCATGTCCATGGGTCATGCATGTAAGTTCTTTTGACCACTCCATTTCCTATACTGTTCTTAACATGCCCCGTCTATTCTGTATCTACTGATTTGTACTTCTTAATCTCTGTACCTTTTCCCCCATTCTTTCCCTTCCCTCTCCCAACTGATAACCCTTCAAATGGTCTCCATATCTATGATTCTGTTGCTGTTATGGTTGTTTGCTTAGTTTGTTTTTTAGATTCAATTGTTAATAGTTGTAAATTTATTGTCATTTTAATGTTCGTGGTTTTGATTTTCTTAAATAAGTCCCTTTAACAATTCATGTAATAGCTTGGTGATGATGAACTCCTTTAACTTTACCTTGTCTGGGAAGCACTTTATCTACCCATCGATTCTAAACAATAGCTTTGTTGGACAGAGTAATCTAGGTTGTAGGTCCTTCCTTTTCATCACTTTGAATACTTCTTGCCAGTCCCTTCTAGCCTGCAAAGTTTCTTTTGAGAAATCAGTTGACAGTATCATGGGAACTCCTTTGTAGGTAACTCTGCTTTTTTCTTGCTGCTTTTAAGATTCTCTTTATCTTTAACCTTTGGCATTTTAATCATGACATGTCTTGGTACGGGCCTCTTTGTGTCCGTCTTCTTTGGGATTCTCTGTGCTTCCTGGACTTGTATGTCTATATCCTTCACCAAATTAGGGAAGTTTTCTTTCATTACTTTTTCAAATAAGTTTTTAATTTCTTGCTCTTTCTCTTCTCCTTCCAGCACTCCTATGATTCAAATGTTGGCACATTTGAAGTTGTCCCAGAGGCTCCTTAGCCTATTCTTTTTTTTTGGGGGGGGGGGGGGGATTCTTTTTCTTCTTGCTGTTCTGATTGAATTTTTTTCCTTCCTTGTATTCCAGATCATTGATTTAATTCCAGTGTTGATTCCCTGTAAATTTTTCCTTATTTCACTTAGTGTAAACTTTGTTTTTGCCTGGATCTTCTTTATGCTGTTGAAGTACCCAATGAATTCCTGGAGCATCCTGATAACCAGTGTTTTGAACTCCACAGCTGATAGATTTCTTATCTCCATTTTGTTTAGTTCTTTTTCTGAAGTTTTCTGTTTTTTCATTTAGGCCATATTTCTTTGTCTTCTCATTTTGACAGCCTCCCTGTGTTTGTTTCTATGTATTAGGTAGAGCTGCTTTGACTCCCTGT